CCCCCCCCCATCCCCTGCCTTCGGCTGGGCTCTCAGTGGACGGCCCCCAAGTGGCCGAGAAACGAATTATTACAAACGCACTGCCCGCCAAGGCTAATCTAAGTACGTCCAACTGGTGAAAGGCACAACATGATGCGGTTCTTTCGATCACAAAAAAAGCCAGCAACATAGTAGTGACACGCGCGTGCCTCGGTGCGGTAGAGCACAGCTATCGTTGCGACGGGGCTGGTCGGGCGTGGTCCAGGTCCTGGTCACTCCTCGTTCTTGTCTCTGGTATAATTCCCAACTAGATCTGCACACATAGAGCGAAGCCTACGTGACCACAACGGCGGTCCGAAACCTTTACAGCCAGTTTCTTTGGGGGAGGGGGCAGGGAGGGAGGGGCGACACTCGACACTCGATTGCAATAGCGAGTCCAGAGTACAAGACACGTGCCCGGCCCACACATGCACCACTGTACCACTGTGAGGTGCACTGCGGCCAATGCCCTGCCTTCGGATTAACGAGAGCACTGATTGCAGATGGTGTATTTAACTGCACCGTATCTCGTCGAGCGCCGCGGACAGCGCCCTCCTGTGGGCGCTGAAGGACGGCAGCGCGGTGCCCGGGCCAGACGGCCGCTCGGCCTTGAACCGGCCTGGCCCGCCCGGGGAGGGAAGGGTTCGCGCAATAATCCAGGTCAGTCAGGCAGGAGGCTCCTCGGTGCGGTCCTTGTCTCTCGCGTGGAGTAACCGGCCTGCCCAGCCCAGCGCGCGGTTCGCCGGCCGGCGCGGTGAGGTAACCGCCCCCTCTCCACCTCCCGGCTGCGTCCAAGAGGGCCCAGACGCGTATAAGAGGGGGGGGGGATGCCCCCATCCCCTCCAGTCGGCCAGTCGCCTGACAGGTAGGCTATTTGAGCTATACGAAACCCGTGTACATAGGCAACTCGGCCCACACTTATACGCCCCTGATGGAGGCCGGTATGCGGCCCGACCCGGCGGCGGCGCTACGCAGGCGCGAGAAGGGGCGCTGCCAGTCCCATCCAGTCTTTCTAGCCCAGCTGAGGGACCTGGGCCTGGGGGACCAGGGGGGTCGTTTTCACAAAAAGAAATCCCCCCCCCTCACACTGTTAAAGTCTTACGAAGAAAAATGCCAAATCGCTTCGTAGAGAGCAAATCCTTCGTAGGTACGAAGCATTTGGCATTTTGCTTCGTAAGACTTTAACTCTGCAGAGGGATCGTCGGGACCGTTGCAGGACTCAGTGCGCGTCAATGAACTGTCAATGGACTGTCTAAAAACGAAAAGGCGTAGTTGGGAACACTAGTGCACATCCGTATTTTGTAAGGATCGGAGTCGCGTCTTATGTTATTACATTTTTACATTCGTAAAATACGAAACTACTGAAACAACACAATTTTTACTAATTACGCATAACACATGAACGCTCCGGTTTGTCACTTCTTTGCACCTGCCCAGTCCATTTTCGATTCATACGAAATGAAATACCGGAGCGGAGGG